AGCGGGCTGCACTTTTATATCTAAAAACCGGAATGCATGTAATATTTTCTAAATTAAATTTTCTGTGTATTTTTAATTAAAAAAGAGATTTGTTATAGTCGTTTGATAGTTCTGTGAATAAAGGAAAATTGATGCTACATTAAGAATGTAATTTAAAATACAAAATAATACAAACACATATTAATAATTCAGTGTCATGTATTCAGTGATGATTCGTTCAGCATTTGTTGTAATATGTCTATAATTATGTTTTACAAAGTTTATTATTATTTAGAACATGTGTTTTATTTGTGGATTAAACTGTGAATAATTGCAGATATTTTTGAGTCATAACATTTTTTTTTTACACATACTGAGAAAAAATGTAGCCCCGCCCACCCACCCTGTCTCAATTGTGATGATTTTTTATATTCGTCGTGAGTCAAGAAGACGGACCTTAACTGCAAAATCCTTAGTTCTTTGCGAGAAATTAAAAATATTTTTTGAGTATCGTGTTGTTCAAAAAATACTGTGCATATTAAGAAAAAAGTAAAGCTGAAGATTAGGCCCCACCCATACCCGCCCCGATCTCAATTCTCAATTATGGTGAATTTTTCATTCGTTGTCAGATCGAGAGGCCGGGCTTAAGTGCAAGATCGAAAAGACAAAATGTAAGCCCCGCCCACCCGCCCTATCCCAATTGTGATGATTTTTTATAATCGTCGAGAGCCAAAGAGCGGAATTCAAATGCAAAATTACCATGTAATACATTTTTTGAATATCGTGTTATTCAAGGGATACTATGTATATTAAGACAAAATTAAAACCAAAGATTAATATATAACACTTATTCCTGCCCTGATGTAAATAGTAATCAAGATTTCATTCGTTGGCGGACCTAGGGGCGGAGCCTAATTGCAAAATCCATATTTCCTTACTAAAATTTACCACTATAAACGTGTCATAACTTTATAAAAATAAAAAAAATTACCACGATTGAGATGGAGTGGGTGGGCGGGGTTTATATTTTGTTTTTTTTTTCTTAATATACATTGTATTCTTTGAACCACACGATGTTCAAAAACATGTTTTTAATTTCTTGTAAAGAAATAAGTATTTTGCAGTTAAGCTCCGCCCCTTTGGCTCACGGCGAATAAGAAAAATCATCACAATTGAGATGGGGCGGGTGGGCGGGCTTATTTTTTGTCTTTTTTATTTTAAAATGTGTAGACTCCTTTTCCCAACATGAAACTTAAAGCATGTTTAAAATGGAAAATTTCTATAAGGAATAAATATAAATATATAATAAATTTGAATTATTGAGAAATATATTATTGAGTTTAACCTACGCCGATTTTAATCAATTTTATAATTTTGAAATTTTAGATGTAGTCATTTTTGAATTTAACAATTTTTCAGTTTCCGTTTTTTCCAATTTCTCTATTTTTCAGATGTGATTTCTTAGTTATTTGAGTTTGCAATTTTGCAGTTTTTCGATTTTACGATTTTTCAATTTTTCTATTTTTGGTATGATTGTCAATTTTTCGATGTCAGTTTTTCAATTTTGCAAGTTTTCCATTTTAGATTTACCTATTCGATTTTTCAATTTTAGAGTTTAGCCATTTTTGAATTTATCGGTTTGTCAATTTTTCAAGCTGTCAAGATTTTCAATTTTTCAATTCTGCAATTTTTCAATTTTTTTCTATTTTACAATTAATCCATAAATTTGCAAATTTTCGATTTCCTGATTCTCAAATTTTGAAATGTTTTCGCTTTTATCCGATTTTTGAATTTTACAATTTCTCGATTTCAAATTTATTCCATTTTTCCATTTTTTGAATTTTCCGGCATTCAATTTTTCAACTTTATAATTTAGCAAGTTTTCGATGTAGTGATTTTGGAATTTATTGATTTTGCAATTTTTCAATTTTACGATTCTTCAATTTTCCGAATTTCTGATTTTTAAAATTCTTCCGTTTTTCTATTTTTCAAGTGTTCATTAAACATTTTCAATTTTCCTATTTGCAATTTTTAGATTTTACGATTCGGGTTTTCAGTTGTTCGTTTTTCCATTTTTCAGTTTTTCAATTTTACAATTAATAGATTTTTTCAATTTTTTGACTTCTTGATTATCGATTTTTTCAAGTTTTAGATTTTTCAGTCTCTATTTGTTTTTTTAATTTTACATTTTTCAAACTTTCGATTTTACAATCATTCGATTTTTCGATTCTTAGATGTTCAACGTAACAAATTTTAGATTACATTGTATTCTTTAAACCACACGATGTTCAAAAACATGTTTTTAATTTCTTGTAAAGAAATAAGTATTTTGCAGTTAAGCTCCGCCCCTTTGGCTCACGGCGAATAAAAAAAGTCATCACAATTGAGATGGGGCGGGTGGGCGGGCTTATTTTTTGTCTTTTTATTTTAATATGTGTGGACTTCTTTTCATGACATGAAACTTAAAACATGTTTAAAATGTAAAATTTGTACAAGGAATAAATATATATATAATATATAAATAATTGCAAAACCCATATTTCCTTGCATAAGCCATTTTAACTATATTTTAAGTTTCTTATTATGAAAAGATGGCTATGTATATTAAGAAAAAAATGCAAAATATTGGGAAATATTGTAATGAAGTCCGTCGGCCAACTCTCGACGTTTCATGGCCCCTAGAGTACGAAGAAATTGGTCTCCCGTTTTTCGAAAAACCTGAATTTGTTGCACTGTGCTTCAGGGACCATTTTGTTGTATTAAAAAAATCTTGTTTTCACTTTAGTTACAAAATGCTAAAACATATTTTTTTTCATTCAAAGATTAGGCAAAAAATCTAAGCAAAAAAATCGTAAATAATTGTGATCGACAGTTGTCTTTCTCTCCTGTTCTGAGTTTATGGTTTCTTGGAAAAATGTACTTGGAGCACAGTTTTGACTAGTGTTTTCAGCTTACAAATTTTTAGAAAGTACAGGAGAAGCATCGATTTTTTGTCGAAAATGAGATACAGTAAAAACAACTGAAAAAAGTTAATATTTCTTTTGTAAAAAAGTAGTAATTTTCGTTAATGTTCCGTATTTTCTAAATTAGCGTTAGTATTTTATGAAAATTATACAACAAAGTCTGTGTGTTAGCGTAATAATAGTAAAAAAATTAAAGCAGATTATCCAAAAACTTTGTGAAAAAATTGTCCTAAAATAATTAATTTAGTTACAGAATTAATGTCTCTCCAAAATTTCAGTGACGCGAAATAAATCTACTTTTTGTGTGCATTTACTTTAATTAATATTAAAGATGTATTAATATATGTAAAAGTAAGATCAAAAAAGATTACCTGAAAGAAACCTTGTGAAAAAATTAATGAAAACCCTAATGGATTTTTTCATAACAATTGCCTTTGACCAATCAAAACACTTTTTTGGAGTGGATAACTTGAAAAGTTTTGTTTAGTGGTTGACTTATTTTAATAATCTTAGGATACACCTACTTAAAATTGTAAAATTATCATTTTCATATTTTCGATAAAAATAATAAATAATAAAATGAATACAAAAAATAAATGTTTTTTTTGATATTTTAACAAAATAAAAAATAAATAATTTATCGAAATCCACCATTTTTACTAATACGTTATCCTGTTTACTAATTTAATATAATTCGGAGTACAATTGTTTTAACATACAGCAGTAAAGTATAATCGATGCTATAGTATGAGAAGTAGGTCGATTGGTATTATTACTGTCAGTAGTCGTAAGGTATGGAAGAGATGAGACGACTGATCCGGTTGGTTTTTACATTCCGGTTATCTAATACATCAACATCAACTATCAAATGTATTTGTAAATAGTATCAGTTGACACGTTGACAGCAAATATGCAATTACGAAAACGTAATAACCAGTGAGGAAATAGTTTCGTTGTTAACATTTTTTGTTCATTTTGATACTTTGACTGGTTAATTACGTTTGCAAAAATGGCAAAAAAACGAAATTTTTGTTAAATAAAAAATTTTATTAACGAAAAGGTCAGAAGTGCATATTTTAAAATTAGTGTTGTTATGTAAGAGCTCCTTGTTTACAAACTATCCTTAATTGTTCGGTTTGCTAAGATACTAATTAGATAAAATATTACATAATTTTTGCATAAATTTGTATTTAGCGGTGTTTAGCTGTGATGTGGAGTGTGGCAAATGCAGTATTCTTAAAGTACTTTATAAAATAGATACGGTAGTTGCAAATGTTTTTATTGTGTCTTATTAAAGCACGTTCACTTGTTATGCAAGAAATGTATTAGTATATAAGTATGCGTATTATCACGCCGCTAATAATTATGAGAAGCACGAAACAAAACGTTACATATAATTGTTTGATTAACAATTTCACAGGCTGTGTGTTTATGCAAATGACGCGGGTTTGATGGAAAAGTAGCTCTTTGATGAAATGTGTTGATTAAAGTTGCATTAGTGCGAGCTTATGCAAGTGTAAATTGGAGTAAAAAGTAATCCATTTGTGGTGTTTTGAGAATTCAGTGCCGATGGTTGAAATGTGCGAAGAAATAAAATTAACAAGGCCGTCGTGGGGGAATCTATTGTGATATATTTTTATTCCGCAAGAGCGTTTGTGTAAGCTGGTTTACTTTGAAAATTTAAAAGTCTTTGATATTTGAAACGTGAAATGTTTATAAAACACTATTTCTAAAATAAACCTAAAATAACCGCGTGGCCGCTGGCTCGTTTTTACAAGATAGTGAAGATGATGGTGGAGTTTTAGAACAGCGTTACGGTTGCAGTTGCAATTATTATAGTGTGGGAATTTTCTGTGCGAACGATGCAGCGAAGTAGCAGCAGAGATGATTTTTAGAATGTATTCTATTATAATTCATGGGCAGATCACATTGCTTTGTGATACTTATTATCAGCAACTACTTTCATCATCCTACTTTCTCTGGTTGCTTGTCCGTTTGGTGCAATCCTAGCTTCTTCGGCGTCCCTACCTTTCGACTTGTGCTTCACACTTACCACGAGTGGGGGCTTTATCTCAACTTGCACACTGAATCTATATAACTAGCATCCTTTTTACACCGGAATTATTTTTTGAAAACGCACCGATATGTTCGCACGTTAGGTTATAGTGTAGTATAGTGTTAAGTGAGTGTTGACTTTTATTTAAGGATAGCTTGGATTTATAAGGATTACGATGACGGTACAACAGGTAAGTGGCGAACGAAATCTACCGTTTTCATGCACAAACAAACTCATTGCCAAATTATTAAGCTAACTAAAGGAAATTTAAGGCAGTAGCCCTTTCGTTAGTACTTAATTAATTACACCAATTTAAACTCTCCATATTATTCTCCACTTTGGATTTAATCTATCATCATTTCTTCTCTCAAATTAATTAAAATCGTTTAAACCGAGCTCACCCTAATTGCGAAAAATGCTACACTGGAATCTTTCATGACAGAAAATTGATTTAATAACAAGCACTTATCACCATTTATTAAAATTTTGATTGCAACCGATCATAACGAACGTTTCCGGATTTCCGACGAAGGAAAAAACCTAGGCTGTGAGCGAGACTTCAGTATTGAGTGTGTTTCTCCTCAAATGCCGATTGAATTTCAGAAACGTTCTCAATTATCTACACAATCTACAATTGAAACCAGATCACCGGTCGTTGTACATAATAACTAGGTGTTCACTTTATAGTGAGGTGCATAAGGTATTCCCGGACGAGCAGCTCATTATGCCGCATAATACGTTGCACATGGTGTTGGGCTGAAGCTGTATGCTCTCAATGGTAACATTTAACAAATCCCCCAGTCGCAACACCTCTCAATGGGAGCCTGTCACGTACTCAATTAACTTACCGACGATCGTATTTGCATTGTCGTAATTGGCCTAATTATGTACGTTGTCAGAAATTTTAACCCACACTCGTTACCCATTTTAAACAAACACAATATTATTTTGTTACGGATTGATATTCCGATAATTATCCACCTAATGAAAAACCGGGGCTCTAATTCATTTAAACACTGCACACGGTTACTAGACTGTGATATCCAAAAAATGTAATTACTGTTTCAACTCTAATTATTTTTTTCTTGATTTACAGATGTTTGTTGCATTCTCGTGCTTATTACTGGCGACGCAACAAATTGCAGCTGTCGTAAATAACCCGAAAAGTGTGAATTTAGAAGAAACCTCCACTAGCAAAAATGTCAGCAGCACTGGTACGAAAGACTCAGCTTCCGCTGCTACTGAACAAGAAGCGAAGCGTCGTGAAGCGCCTATTATTGCTGTCAGCGACACGTACGGCTTGCCTTTGACGGGAGCTGGAGTGGATACATACATTCCGACGGGACCCAGCAACCCCACACTCCCAATTCCCGTGTACGGCGTCCCCGATGGACCCTCTAGTAACATAATTTATCCAGCACCACCCCCAGATATACCTCCACCTCTCCCGTCCGTGTCTTCCACCTACGGGATTCCTCTGCCAACATACGGTGCACCACAAAGCGTCGATTTTGGGTCTTCATTCCTAAACAACTTTATTCCTCCTCCTCCTCCTCCAACTAAGTATTTGCCCCCGATTAAATCGCATAAGCATTTTATCTCGTCATCGTTCCATTCAAAACCATCAAGACCACGACCCCAATATGGAGTACCACATAAACCAGTTTTCGTGCCCAAGTTGCCAAAACCGAAACCTGTGTACGGACCTCCAAAAACGCCGTTATTCGTGCCACAAAAGAATAATTTCCAGCAACAATCGCTGACTATTGTTACTATTCCGTCTGCGGAATACGGAGTTCCGAATCTGAATATACAAGAACCTTTGGGACCTGTGCACCATCCATCTGGAAATTATGGACCCCCAGAACCGATACAGCATGGACCTCCACATCCGGGAGTTCCTGCACCTCCAACGCCGCCTGATATTAAGTACGACGGTTGGCAGCCGATACCGGGTCTTGTGTCCAGACCCCCGTCTGACAGTTATGGCGTTCCTGAAGGTCAACATCACGACATTGCCGATTTACAACTGAATTCTGATTTTACACCTCCTCCTATTGGAAGTAGTCATGGACATATATCCACGCCGTCACACTCGATTACTGTGGGTTATAGTCCTCCCACGCATGGAGTAAGTGATTCCTACGGAGCCCCACTGAATGCCGTTACTGGGTCGGGAGCGGTCGACAGTTCGTCGGGAGACGCACATCACGACGATCACTCCCTGTCACTTGGACTTTCTGCTGCCGGCATTAACGGCCAAAGTCATCTCTCTGTAATCAAGAGCATCGGCTATGAATTGTTCCCCAATTCCGGTACCTTAAGCCACATCGGTGACAGTTATAGTTCTCCACCATTAAGTTCGTACTCTTCCGATGGTCCATATGCTGCTGCCCATTCGTATAAAACCAGTGGGTTATCGTCCGGGTCACACCACGGAAGTTCTATAAAATCTCATCAAAGTTCGCACTTCCACAGCTCTCATAATTCACATATTTCACATGGTTCTCATGGGTCGCACGGGCACTCATCGTCTTCTATTGGTTTAGTTCCCCCCAGTGGTCTCTATGGCACACCTCCCAGTGGCCAATATGGAACACCTCTTTTGTCGAAACCTAGTCATCAGTATGGCGCTCCCTTGAACGCGTTGAAGATAAATCCGCCTAAACATCCCGTGATTTTCCGCGAACCCGTTCCTGCCGGGTTGATAGAATCCATTGGTCAGCATACTGCGCACAAAGATGCTCACGGCATCATTGAAAGTTCTCATTCTACCAGGTATTCGTCTGGTTCAACCTACATTCCACCCCCGATTCCCGATGTTGCAAAACCAGTAAGAGAAGAAGAACCACCGGTTCCTTCACATTTGTATAGTTTACCTAATCCGAGTTCTGGACTTTCATTCCAAAATGTCGCACATGGTTCGTCTTTACCGGAAATTAGTTCTCTTAGTTTAAATTCCAACCATTTCAGTGGTGGTCACTCCCAAGGTTTCACTAGTTACACGGCACCCTTAGGCAGCATTGATGGGTCTTATAGTTTGCCTTTACATGCAGGTCCGGGTTATTCAATAGCGTTAGATAACGCACACTCGGGAGGGTTAACAGTGGGTATTGATCATTCTCTTCCTCCTATTTCTATAGATTTAACCACTTCAACAACAAATCTGGGAAAGTCAATCGCTCAGTTACCACACGCTTTTGCTTATCAAAATGGCCACGATTGTAAATCGCATGGTTCTCAACCTTTACCGTCACTGTCATACGGTGTTCCATCCGCTAACAGTTACACAGCTTCTCTGTCTACTCTGACTACCAATATTGGTGGGGCGCATCAGTCACACATTCCGTCTGGATCATACGGTCCTCCTGATCTTCACACTGAGCATTCTAAGAAAGTTGCGACAGTCGTGTCCGCTAATTCCATAGAAGGTTCGTCGCACGGAAAGAGTTACGGAAAGTCTCTAGCCCAAAAGTTTGGTCCCGATAGTGAGCTGATCAGGTCCCAGAGTATCGACATTAATAATATTCCTCTGAAGGGTTCTTTGGGTAGTTATACTCTTCAGATTCAGTCCGCCGATGGCATAGGCGGTTCCAAATCGTCTTCGGAGCAGATATCGCACGCCCAGGTGTTGAATGGGGGGTTGCTGCAGTCGATCTTGGCCGCAATAGAGCAGCCGGAACGAAAAGACGCAACTATTTTGGGGCGTCCGCTGTCGCATTTGAAACCCAGCAAGAGTTACAGCCGTCCCTTGGATTCGGAAGGGCAGCACTCCGTGAACCATGCAGTTGTCGTCCCGGCGCCGGTGACGGAAGCGACTTCAACGACAACAACGTCGCATCCCCAGCCGGAGTCTGCAGCTCCTCTGCGTTTAATAGACAACAATGAAATCGCGCTGTACTTCAGCAACAATTTGCAGGACGACGCGGACTTCCAGGACAGCAAAAACAGCACAGAAGACGCCGTCCGCAACGGCCAGCAGTACGGAAGTTACGTTTCGTTCAAAACGCCAAACACCAGTTACGTGTACGGAAAGCTGTCGAGTGACAAGTCGCAAGAAACAGGGGAGAAGGATTAGTGCGTTGAATCTGCTCAAGAACTTTTTAGTCATGAACTGAGTTCCACTCAAAGTTAATAGAGCGGAGTTCGGGTGTTGTTATTTATGTGCGGCTCACTTTCGAGGCGAAGCCTCCAAGGCGGTCTGATATTATTAGTGATCGAATTAATTTATTGTATTAATTGATAACTAAACGAGACGACTTTGTACAAACTTTTTTACTTTAAAACTAATAAACAGTCTCAAAAGTTGCTGGTTTAATTTTACTTTTGCACGAACTGGACATCATTTACTGCTTGTCGAATCCGTCCTGACAGATCAGGGTGCGAAACCAATTATTGAGTGATTAGGGAGTTGAAATGGAGTCGCGTTACAACTTGAATGGATAATCCATTAACAAATAAAGAAGACACGAGTTGAGTAATCTGTTGAGTTGATGAACGACTATTTAAGACAGGGATAATTCTATATCATTAACGTCTGCCCTGGGGATTAAAAATAATCGTTTTCACCATACAAATGGTCAATCTGGAATAAACTTTGCCCTCACTTTAGAGCCATCACTCGAAAGGAGGTCAAGCGTCTGCATACTTGATTTTCGTTTAAAACACTCTCCAATCTCATAAATCCAAGGAAATAAAATTGCTCTTTTGTAACACGTTTGTTTTCGTATCTAACACCATGACACTGCAGTAATACTTGCTGAAGCAGAACTACCATTTATCTAGAAAAAACGTTACAAAATTTTCGTAAATCGACACAAAAACATTTTAAAATGTCCCTTTTGTAATTTTTGTAACTTGCAAAAAAATATGCATTAGTTGATTACGAAGTTTTCCCGTAGAACAAGAGCAGTGGCAAATTTAACTGTGAAGCTTAGTTTCAGACATAATTAACAAGTACATTGTTTGAATTAAAAATAAAAATAAGTGACAAGAGTCATTAGTTTCGCTTCAGTGCGTTGAGTCCCGTCCTGAGCAAGTTTGAGATGATTGGTTATATACAGATGTAAAGTATTATTTGCATAAAAAGGAACTACGAACTCAACGTAGCATAAACAGTTTTTTTTAATATTCAGGTGTTTTATAAATCATCTGAACAACCTTTCGTAGAAATTAGAAATCTTAAAATTATAGGAATTTCCACATGAATGTTTCTTTTTCATTTAAACGATAATTCGGAACACAACGTGAAAAGCAGTCCTAATAAGAATTAACGATTTGTCAATAAGCTCTTTACTATATAATTTAAAGCACTTATTTGTCTCGCTGAAAGCGACTGCGACAATAAAAAAAATCTTTTTGTGGTCTAATGAAAGAGAAATCAAAAGGCTCTTTGTCGAGTAAAAACAACGAACAAAGTGGATTGATTGCTGTTTTAAAATGAGCATCCTTAATGGTGAACTTGTTCAACGTAAAGTTGATAATTGCCGCTGCTTAAGTGATATTCCGAGTAGTTGTTGTTGAGTGGTCACCAACTCTTTGACCGTCTACTTTCTCCGTTCCAAAGGAACACGAAATTCTCGTCAAGGTTGTGGTCATCCTCAATTTTATTGTTTGATCAGCTTAAGCATTGGAGTGAAAATAAACCAACATAATTTATTTTTTACCCTGGGAACGAATTGGAATTTTACGCTCGTTTAGTACCCACTAAAAGTTCTACTATTCCTTAATTAACATCAGAAAGAAGTTGTTTGTTATATGATAATTAATGTGGAGAAATTGTGACAATGAATGAAGCGAATATTATAATTTCTGGTTTTTTGGAGCTGTATGCGACGTCTCATTTATCTTCTTCGTTAATGAAAAACATTGCAATCGAGTACGGAGGGATAATGAGGTAACGTTGAGGATAACTCTTGCATACAATTATACTAATGATCGGAATAGAAAGAAAAAATGAGCAACAGAAGTTCATTTGTCAGTCTAGATGACGATATGAAAATCGTTGCAAAATATTTTAGAAAATACAAAACTTTGCGACAGTTCACATTAAAGAACAGTTAATGTTGTCCCTTCCAGAAGTTTGATGACGCCATTTCAAAAAATTATTTAAATAAGTTTTGTAATAATTTTTTTGATCAGTAATGTTCTACTCTAGTTGCTGCTTTCATATATAGTATCCTAGTCGTCGCATCTGACGCTTATCTGACGGCAGAAAACTAAAATGCGAGCACGTCACAAGTATTGAAACAAACAAAATGTTGCATATTTTAAGATTCATTTAAAAAAGTAACTTGTTTGTTAGTTGCACACTAATTGTCTAATGAAATTATGAACAGACAGATTACGGACAGACAAGCCGTAAACATGAAACTGGGCGTTCGGTTGTATTGTTCTTGCTCGAAAGAAAAATTTTAAGACTGTTTATCGGTACGGTGACCCAAATATATTTTACGTGAAACTAAAAACAGCAAAAGTGAATGAAGCGATTTCTCCCGGATTTGGATTTGGATGACGGCATAGACAGTTTTCCCCACAGAAAATTTCAGCCTACGCACCGGCACAATAAATTCTTGTGGAAATTAGCGAATTACGGCGAACAACAACGATATATTGTAAATCACCTGTTTTATAACGGACGTCCTGCTTTAAAGACAATTTATTATAATGTCTTGAACATTAAGCGCTACAAATAGCACAAGTTGTAATCGTTAAGATCAGCCGAAATCGCATACATTTTTAATTGGATGAACTCGAAGCGATAAATAAAATCAAATGAAAGAATGATGGGCAATCACGAAATTCAGTACTCGAACTAGAGGGCGAGTAATCGCTCACATTCAACAAGGAAGTAGGGAAGGTGAACGAGATATTTAAAACATCTGCCAAGGGAATTGACGAGACAAAAAAAATACAAGAGGGTTGGAGCGTTAATAAGATTCTGAGTACAATGTAGGGTAAATTGGATGAAACAAATAAAATTAAGGATAAGCTCTGTAAAAATCTTGTATAAATTTAAAACAGTAACATTATTAATTTCGCAAAATATATCCTGCGTATATAGTTATTTGTCTCGAGGGCACGGAGCGTTTTCGATGGGTAACAGGATATGGGGTTTATTAGAGCTGAACCTAAAATGTATAATGAAATGCGGTGTAAAGCTTTTTGCAGAATGGACAGTATATGCTATATGGATGAAACATGTACATTTACGAACGACAGGGGTATAAATGGACTGTGGGACAATATTATTTGCAAAGGGCACTGTTTGATATTTCATTACATTAATGTTCATACGCTGTGTTGGTTATGGGATGTTTATTTGAAAGCGGTCTGCTTTTAGAACCTCGTTAAGATTTTTTGTTTTTAGTTTTATTGTGGGTAAAAGTAAGGATACGCCTATTAGACTGAGTCGAGATTTTAATGGATCATTATTTTTTCGAGGTACAAGTTTCTGCGCCCAACTTTTGTTATACATACTTAATGCCAGTATGAAACAGCTGTATATAAAATAATTTAGACAGAACTTCTCTCGCTTCTCAAGTACAGCTTCTTCGAAAAATAATATCATTTAATTTTGCCTAAATAACACCCCCGCAGCCCATGTTTAAGTACAATTGAACAAACCGTGAGTCATCTTGAATAGTGATTTATAAATCAATAAAATAACCAAAGGTATAAGCAAATCTCAAAAATATGAATGAAATGATAAATTACAAGTATAGACTTGTGGCGGCACAATAATACGTAGTAGTAAGCGAAGAAAGATAAGCTCCTCCGTAGTCTAGTGGTACGGGCACCCGCCCGGCAAGCGGTAAACGTGCGCTTCGATTCCCACCGGAGAAGCAACATTTTTTTCTGCTTACCTACAAACTGATAATATTTTGCACATTTTAGACAGGGTTTATCCGGCAAAATTTTGAAATGACGTCATTAATCTTGTTGAAGAAAAATTATGGGAAACTATTAGAAATCATTAGCGAAAGATGGCAAAAATGATAAAATTATTAACTGAAGTAATAGGTCTTATTTACCTATTACTTCAGTTACATATTTCGAAAGCTTGAAAAACAGTCAAAACAATCGAAAAGTTTCGAAAAAGTCCAATTTGAAAAACATAAAGTGTTAATGTTCCCAGATTAGTGTTTTCGAAAAAAAAACGATTGGTTTGAAACTGATTTTCTTTAGCTCGAAAGCTCGAAAATGCTCAAAAAAAGACCTCGATGAGGTGATTCAAAAAACATAAATTGTCAAAGATCACGGAGCCAGATTTTCGAAAAATTCGGTTTGAAAATGACATTTTTTAATATCAAGAGAGCTCGAAAAATGAAAAAAAATCATACTGGGGAACAGAAGAATTAAATTTTTTGAAAAGTTGCCAAAAAAAATCTCAAAAATTCTTTGAAATAGATCTCGAAGAACTGATTGGAAAAACATAAAGCATTCCCGAACAAGATTTTCCGAATATTTGTTTTGAAAATAATTTTTTGTTTTTAAATAACACGAAAGTCCGAAAAAAGGTCAGAAAATACTACTGAAAAAGTCCTCAAAAATTCGAGGAGGTAAATCTCGACGAGCTAATTCAAAAAAAACAAAGTGTTAATGTTTTCAGATCAAGATTTTCGAAAAATTTTGAGATTTGTTACTGGTTTGAAAAAAAAATAAGAAAAGATGAAATTTTTGAAAAGTTGCCAAAAATCCTCAAAATGTTCTTTGAAATAAGTAGATTTCGAAAAGCTGATCCGAAAAACAAAGTATGAATGGTTTCGAAATAAGATTTTCGAAATATTCGATTTGAAAATATTTTTTTTAAATAACACGACAGTTCGAAAAAATACTATTGAAAAACTGATTTTTGAAAAGTTACCAAAAAATCTTCAAAAATTTGAGGATGCTAATTCGAGAAACTCAAAGTGATTTGATAATTATTTTTTTTATTAACTAAATAAATGGAAAACTATTAGAAAAATTGAAATTTTTGAAAAGATAGATTTCTCAAAAAACCGGACAAGATGAACAAATCACGAAATTTTTGAAAAGTTGCCAAAAAATACTCAAAAAATTCTGGAGTATAGATCTCGACGAGCTGATTCGAAAAGCATGAGTGTTAATGATCCCATGTCAAGATTTTCGAAAAAGCCTATTTCAAATGGAATTATTCAATTTTCGCGGGGAGAGGGAATTGAAAAATCGAGATTTTAGAAAAGATGACAAGAAAATGATAAAAAAATTCTGGGATATAATATCTCGACGAGCTGATTTGAAAAACATAAATTGTTAATATTCCCGGACCAAGATTTTCGAAAAAT